GGCACATCCCTACCCAAGTTGGGGTGGTAGTACCCCCCCCCCCCCGGGCCTAGGGACCAATTTGTAATTAACTAAGCTAGTGATGGTAGTTTAAACTGGAGAAGTTTGCTCATTTACCCAAGCATTCTCCTATCCCTGACCTTAATGAAACTCCTAAGGGAGACATTGGTATGAGAGCATGCAGATCTAGGACAGGGGATTCTAATCATACATTTAACTACATCATTTGTTTGTTGYTTTACCTCTGCCATTTTTGATACGCATCAAAATGATCCATTATTTTTATGTTCATTTCACAGAGTTTAGGGTTCCGTTATCACATTGACAATCAAATGGCTCATTATGGAGAACTAATGCTAGTGAATCTGGTAAAGAAAATGTTCATTGAATTTTTTAAAAAAGTTGTTAGATATTATCCATGTATTTTTGACATGAAATTTTCTTGAAGCTTTAAGCTTTAGCAAGTAGCCTTTTTACAAACCTTTTTTCTGTTGTTGTAGATTGATCAAAAGGGACCAGAAAAGGTATTAGGTGATAATTTCTCAACAATTATTAGGAACTCCGGATATCCTGAGAACAGCTTAAGGTATGCTATAGAATTTAGTGGCTTCTTTTAGGAAACAAAGGGTGGGGGAGCTGAGTGTTAGCTCTTGCCTCTTAGATCTCAGCCAGGTGATTTTGTTTCTCTTACCCAGAATGAATTAGCCAATCATTAGTCAAATAAATTTACAATTCCATCTGTGAGCTGCCCATGCTATKACTCACATCAGCCCAGAGGCAGGGTTTGATAAGGTTGATATTTGGTTTAATGTATCTTTAGTCCACCTTTTAACTCATTTTTTAATTTTCTCTTGGCAGATTTGATTCATTTGACTTTCACAAAGAGTGTAGCAAGATGCGATGGGACAGACTTAATATTTTAATAGATAGGCTTAATGGTGATCTAAAGAAATTTAGGTAAGTATATCCTATTGTAACTTTTCAAAAGGTGTGCTACTGACCATTCTGAGTGTACTTGTATATGGAATTAATTAATGTCCTTGCACTCTTTTTACCCCATTTTCATTTAATGCCACAGGGAACCATTGCCAATGATTAAGACGGTTATGTGGATGCCTGTGGAAAAAATCATTCTTACAAATTCTTTCTAATTTTCTCATGTATTTTTTATGTTTATAGGTATTTCAGCATGTCTAGGGACAAAACAATTCACTCTGAGCAGAAAGGTGTGTTCAGAACCAACTGCATTGATTCTCTTGACAGGTGAGTTCATACCCTTCATTATCAGTATGTCTAGTTACAGAAAGTATCCATACCCCACCCACGAAGGAAATTGGAAATTCTGAGGAGGAGGGGGGTCAGAAAAAGAAAAACGTATGGAATAGAAGTATATGTATAATATAAGTATATATCCATGGTGGGGCATGGGTATTTTTAGGTATACAATTCTATTATCTCTTGTATACTGACAGCTACTGATACACTGTAAGTGTATGGGTACTTTCCATTCAATATGGACTAATTATTGTTTTCAATTTTTTTTTCTTTTTCTCTTGTTAAAGAACAAATGTTGTTCAGAGTATGCTAGCAACAAAGAGTCTAGAACTTCAGTTTGAGGTAAGATACTCTATTTTTTATGGTCTCTTTGAAATCCCTGATACAGTGATTTTGTGCTCAAAAGGTTGAAAAAGAAACAAAATCAAAGAGAAGCAATAAATCATGAAGAAATATCCAAGAGCATGGGCCTTACTCACACAGCAGCCATGTTCATTGTCATAGGAATAAAAAACCTTTGTTTAGCCCACTAGTGGAATGTGTGTTGTTCCATTTAACGTGGCTGCTGCGTGAGTAAGGCCCACAGATGTCGTAACTAGTCAGTTTCTAAAGATTGTTAATTGTAATCTTGATATTTATTTTTAAACATTTAAGGAATATGGTGTTCTTTCTACTGGGGAAAGAATATCAGAGCACAAGGAGTTTGAATTTGTCTTCAAAAATGGTATGAAATAAAGTGATGTTGTGTAATTTGCCAGAATACTTTTGTTGGTAATAAAAACCTAATTGTCAATATTCAATTACGTTTAGTTTGGGCTGACAATGCAGATGCTTGTTCTGTTCAGTATGCTGGGACTGGAGCCCTTAAGACTGACTTCACCAGGTAAACTTGTACCAAGACTAATAATTAGTTATTAGTTATTATTATTGATTATTAATGTATTTTATTAAAGGTTAAATTCCTTTTTAATAATATCCGAATACTATTTAAATACTGCAGTTTTTCCAATTACCAGTAGCTAAAGATAAGTGTTATTTCCATACAGAACTGGTAAACGATCAGTATTTGGTGCCCTCAAGGATGGACTTAACTCTGCAATACGGTATTACAAGAACAACTTCTCTGATGGATGGAGACAGGTGCGTGTACCTTCGCAACTATCTTACAGTGGGTTTCAATAAACTCAGTAGTTGTGAGCTGCCGAATTTCTAGGATTTTTTTGAAATCCTTGTCTAAATTTACTTCAATTCCCATACATCCTTTTTTTAGTTTGGTGAGGTTGACACTTAATTCTTTTAATTTTGACATATTTTCCTGTCCTTGTTCTAGGACTCTATTGACTTATTTTTAGGCAACTATGTGGTAGACTCAAATGAATGTGTTACGAAGCCTTGTCCTTTAGAACAAAAGCGTGACTGGAGATACATGATGGTAAGATATGTAAATATGAACTTTAATATACTAAACAACATAGTACAAAAGGGAAAATAAATTAAAATGAGAAACAGATTCTCTTAACAACTACCAACCTTCAAATTTTGTCAATAGCCCGGAAAAACTTCTGCGCTGATTAATCTCTGGGCACTTCTAACTTATAGATTAAATTAAGATTTAGCTTGTTTTGTTTTTGTTTTTTGCCAACGAAGGGAAAATGGAGAACCTCTGGATCAAAAAAAGAGGATGTAATAAACTTTTTTCAAATGTTTCCCAATTCCAGGATAAATTGAATATTCTAAACTAATTCTTGGTTGGCACAGTGAATTTCAAGGATGCAATGCAATTCGATGAAATGCTTTGCGATGTGAAGTGATGCAGTGTAGTATGGTGTGGTGCGGTGTGGTGTTGTTTGGTGTGCTGTGCTGTGCTGTGGCGTGGTGTGGTGCGAATTTGTGATGTGATGCATATCTTTGACAATGTTCTTTTGAAAATGTATTGCTCGAAAACTAATTTTTTACTTTATTTTATTTCAGCTGCCATTTATTCTCCTGTTTGGATTCTCCATGTTCATAATTAGCTTGATCATCCCATCAAGTAAGTGTCACGTATTATATATATGATAAAACTTCACCTTGTTATTGATATCAAGATGTGCACTCTCCATTTCTTGGGCTCAGTTTGACACAACTTCTTTGCCCACAGTAAAAAAAAAAAACGTCCTTTTTCACGAGGGTAGCACTTAATAGCCAGTGGCTAACAAACCTGTGGCCCTCATTCCGCAATCGAATTGGAATTTAGGAGTTGATTTTTGTGGAGGGAGGAAAACAGGAGAACCCGGAAAACCCTCGAAGCACAGGAGAGAACCAACAAACAACTCTACTCATATACAACACCAAACCCGGCGGGACTTGACTTCGGGTTGCATTGATGAGAGGCGAGCGCTCCCACCGCTATGCCACCCGTGCTACCCAGTAATTGGCTAAAGCTGCTGTGGTGTTCCTGTCATTAATTCTCAACCATAATTTCATCTTATCCAATCTGCATAGATTTGACTAATATGAGCTTATCCCTTTTTTATGATAAAGATAAATATTGAGTATTATTATACATTTTACCACTTATTATACCACTTCTGATTGGCCGAGAGCAGAGCCTTCAGCCAATCACTGATATCACACAGCCTTGGCATTGATAATATATGATATCATACTCAATGTCCAGCCATCTTTCACTTCTAACCAGCCAATCCCCAGGGATTAAAAAAATGGCAAGACATTGTACGATGTCTGGCCACAATTGGGATTTGTCCCCTCAAATCTTTGCCTTTGCCAGTCATTTTGATCAGCATTGTTTAGCCAGAAATGATGACTGGCGACTAATCAGCCATTAATTTGAGCCCTGAATCCCTAGCCTGTGTCACATCTGAAGAAAATTCCATATGTGATGCAGGCTATGAATCCCTAACTCTTTTTTTCTTTCTCTTCTAGCTGATTATGGTGTCCAGTTCTTGTATGTGGTGTTCTGGGGCGCTGCGGTGCTCTTAACACTATATGTGGTAGTGTTCTTTGGTTATGAATTTGTCGACAAACCAAAACTAGTACAAACAGTGTCGAAGGACAAACATGTTTGACTAGCAAAAACACATCCATCAAAACCTAGAAATTTCAAGGATTACTACTGGGTTTGATTCAAACTCAATATCGATTAACCATTTTACTAGATAAACCAAATGAATCCTTCAAGGTAATAAAAATTATGATACAAAATTAGAATTAATATTTATAACTTTCCTGCACAGTAAAAAATCTTCAAAAAATTGTGTTAGTCTCAAATGTTTGGCTAATAGGTTACTCATTTGTTTAAAAAGATCTTTATTTCACAAAAAGAGGGATACCTCGCACCTAGTATAAAGCAATAATTAGCAAGAGTCATTTTTGCTCATATGGGTTAAGGAGTTATTACGTAGTTCCAGGAAATTTCCATACCCCACGCACTGAGGGAATACTCCCATTACAAGTTTACCCTTGCCCAGTCTTAGCTTTGATTGTGAACAAATGTGTTCTTTTCTTTTATTAAAGTCCATTGTATAGTAAGGAATGTACGTACTACGGAACAATATGAGTTGATTAAAATGAATAGCTGAATATTATAACCCACAACCGAGATTAAGGCTGAGCAAAGAGAACTCAAAACTGGAGTATTGGAAATTCTGGAGGGCAGCGGGGTCATAGAAATGAAATTCGTTTTTATGGAAGAAAATTGGAAATTCCTGGGGTAGGGGGTACTTTTACGAATACCCTCCATGGTGGAGGTATGGATATCTTCTGGAACTATACATTGCTGCTGTTTGATGGTTTTCTGTTCAAAGCAGCTGAGTACTAATTGACCAGAAGGAGTTGCCAATTACTGTTTAATTGAGCCTTTCTCTTAATTGTCTTTTCAGTTCTTGGTCAATTTGCAATCGATCCACCTATGGTACATTTTGACATTCTCAAAAACTTCAGTTTTTTTTCAATTTTGAACTTCTTTCACTTACTAGTAACTATGTCACTTCCAGGAGGCGTATTAATGTTACAAGCAAGTAGGTTGTGGTTGATTGGTATTCGGCTGCTAGTGGTCTGATTTTTAAAATAAGTTAGTTGCCAATTATTCCGTTTTTTCTCCAAAAAGTTTCGTGGTTGAGATGGATGTGTTGTGTCAAAAAGTAAAATAGGAGGTAAATGATATCCATGGATGATATTATAATATTATAAGTATAAGTATGAATATATATTGTCATGGACCAGATATTATTTAGATAGGGGCTGGTGAAAATTAGGCTTGAAGTACAACTTTTTAAATTTATACTTGCATTCATGAATTTATTCATAAATTCATTCATAAATTCCCCCTTTTCCCTGCATAAAAAATAGTGACTTCCAATTCCCATCAGCTTGTCCCCCACCTCTAAGTAATGACTGGTCCCTCTGTAAATGAAAGCCAGAAATCTTGTACCTAGAGTGGCCTGCAACTTTCTTTGCTTAAATTAAGTCTTGTGGGAACTAGGTACAAGGTGATAGAGTGGTAAATGTACTTTTCCCTGGCTTCTGATCCTCTTTTAAACCAATGAAATGATTGCCGAGTTATTGAACATAGTGACTGTCATGATGCAAGTTGCAGAGCTATTTATTGATTATTGAATGAACAAATTTAGGTTTCACATGTTGAAGTGTCATAGGCCACATCTCACAGTGTCAGCCTATTGCCTCATTCTTTCATCAGTTTCTTGGTGGTTTAATTGAAGAAAAATGGCTGCTTGTTTATCGTTTTGAAGGTTAGCACTGTATATATTATAGTATAGTTTATTGTCAAGGACCAGTCAACATTATATTCATTCTTTAACAAAATGACAGAAATTAATGTAGAGATTATATTAAACCTCAGTGGTTCACATTAGCATAAGCATAATGAAATATGTAAGCGCAGATAGTCCATGGTTAGTTAACCTCTTTATATTTGGGTAAAACAAATTATACAGTCAACCTCAAAGTACTATATGCACTTGCATATGTCGTTATGCTTGTGCTTGCGTCACTAGTGCGAACCAGGCTTTATAGGTGTAGGAAAATGTGTACATTTTTTTCAATGATAATTATTTCTTTTACTTTTATTGATTGTTGAATAATCGTTATCATAATTAACGTTACTTGTTTCAAATTAAAAAGAGAAAGAAAAATTGGACCAATGACATTAAAGGCTTCTACTAGTAAGACTCAAAGATTTTATTACAGTAACATTAATTATAAAGAACTAAGGCTTTTCCTGCGTTTGATGCAAACATAGGATGCATTTTGGTGTTGCTTCATCACACCAAATACCACTATCAATAATAAGGGGGCTCTCATACCGTATTGTAGCACATGGGGGGGGGGTCCACAAATTGCAGGGGGGGTTATGTTATTTTGAGAAAGTGGTTAGGGGGTGGGGTTATCATATTAAAAACTATTACAGGGCAATAAAGGGGGGGGGGGGGTTATGCAATTGTTACCTCTACCATGGAAGGGGGGTTGAGTTATATTTGTACAGCTTTCCATGTGATTTTGCCAACCCCCTCATGCACTAATAAATAAAAGCCCCCTAAGGCATGGTAAACAAGATAACTGTACCGATGCTAGATCACAATATAGCAGGTGCATGCTACATCATTGCCACCATGTTGGTTGATGAAAACAAGGCATTCTTCATCAGATTCTCTTGTTAGATCAACCAAGATGGCAACTGTTTCATTGTTATTCATATCTCAAGGGATTTTGAGTCGCATGGTTGCACACATTCTATGCATGCCTATACCAGTAATGAAACCCCAGCAATGCATCATTTTGCAACCTGAAAGGTCTCAGGGATAAAGATTTTGTATCAGGTTAAGTTGGATGGTAATTACTGCATGTCACAGTAATGATGAAAAGGTAAATTATACACCGTGAAAAGATGAAAAAACTTACTGATGTTTCGGACGCTAGTCCTTCGTCGGAGTAAAAGAGAAAGAAGTGGTAGAAAGGAGTGTATATATGATAGAATAAGACAAAAGAAACTAATGAGAGCAAGGTAGGCAAGGTAGGCAAGGAAACAAAAACAAACAATCAAAAGACAAAAGAAAGGGTTAGTTGAAAGTAAAACGTTCATTAATCCCATTGGATGTTACAAGTGATGGATCAACCCTCTATTTAACAAATACCTTACTATACAACTTTTAACATACAATAAATTTATTTATATAAGTAATAGAAAAAAGTTATGGCATGATAAACACAGGGCCGGGTTGTTCAAAGCTGGATTAGTGCTAATCCAGGATTAACTCTATAGGTCTTATTAAGACCAGGATTAGCACTAATCGGGCTTTGAACAACTGGGCCCAGTTCTGTTACAGCTGAACATGCAAAACTATAAACAGCTATAATGTACCAATGCATTTTGATGTGAAGCTGGCTGGTTTTACCAAACAAGACATGTAAAAGCTTGTTTAGCAGCATGCAAATAATTAATGTGGTCCTTGTTTTTGTGAGTCACAATATAAGTAGCTTAAAAGACAAGAAGGAAAGTTCCTTTCCAAAAAGTTTTATACATGAGAAATATGATGTAAAAATACAAGTGTAACAAAGCCCTAATATATTCTAAATTCTTTTAAATCTCATACTAAGTGTTTTGTAAAGAATGACTCCTGATCTGCTAACAAATTAGAATGGACATTGATCAACTTTTTGCTAAAATTACATGAAGAGATTTGGATGTGAGAACAAAGATTCTCTTGTTGCTGGCCTGAAGTCCAAGTATGCTGTTGCTTGGAGATTCAAGAGTCACAACCTTCTGAATGGAAACCTTAGACAAATTAAACAAACAAGGTATTTAGAAATAAATTTTAAAGCAATTTTACTAATACAAATTGACATTGTGCAATTTTTGAACAGGATTTTTTCTTGAGACAGAATTTATAAATGCTTTCTAAACCAGCCTCTGTCTGAAAGTTCACTTTTGTTAAAATGATAAAGCCCTTATGTATTCTAATTTAGTGACGAGTCAACGTTACTTGTCAAAATGAATGTCAAGGCAAAGATTTGTATGTATTGTATGGTTTCTCGTAAAATTAAGGATTAATCTCACTTGTGTTTTCAAAGTCGCTTTGTGACTCGGGCAATTACAAGACTTTGAAAATAGTTGTGAAATTAATCCTTAATTTTACTCAGCCCCATGCAATTATATATACGAATTGCCCTGTAAAAAAACAATATAAACACTAACCTTTGCTCCATTTTCTGGTCTGTTATAAATATACACATGTTTAGTGCTGTCAGTTATTACAGCATATTTCATATTTGGTGCACAAGTTGAAAATCTTCTGTCCTCTTTTGAGGCCTGGACATAACCCAGCGCATCGAATGTTCCAATGTGGCTCCAGTATTTGTTAGGATCGTCAAGGTTTGTTTTAGGCTGCCAAACCAGTGCATCAACATCATGCCGAAGACAGAAGACAGGTAGACTTCCTGGGCTGAGAGTTGTGTTGAATACCCACTGATGGCCAGCAAGACAGACCTGGTAATGACAAAATGCATAGAGTCATTTATTCATTTGTTCCTTCAATTCATTTGCTTATATTCATCTACATTCATTTATTTATGGATATATTTGTAAATTTATTCATTCATTAATAGATACATTGACTTATACACTTCCTCATTCATTTATTTATACAATCACTGACTTGTTCAATCATTCATTTTACTAAGTTCATCTTAAGTCATCTCCCAGAAAATATCTCAATAAAATTATTACTATTAGACTTAGACTTTATTTATTCACACACTTGACAATGATAATATTAATAATAATTATTTTACCAATTTCTTACTTTGTGCGTTATTGTCCCTGTATTTATATCCAGTCTCATAATGTATTCTATATCCTCTGGAAATTCATCACAGTCTTCTAGTTGCTGCTGGTTGAACAGTAGTCTTTCTGCTTTATCACTGCTAACCTAATTAAGATATAGCAAAGAATAAAATTATTTAAATTCATGCTTCCTCCGAGAGGGTGGTGAATAGATCTACTGACTGTTGGATATTGCATGCAGCCAGTCTTCAGCTTGGTTTCACTTAATTAACACTTCTTTTGGGCTTCGGTTCCTCCTTGTGTTTTGTATTACACACTGAATACATCATGTTGAAAGAAAATCAGACTGTAAGCTAGGGCTTTATGAGGGATTGCCTAGCCCTGTAGCATGCCATTGAGTATGGATGGGTCTGATTCTTGCATAGATCACTTACCAACTTGTCAGAGGTCAAGTGTTCTAGTCTTTCATGGATTTCCTGCACTCTTTTTGCTTCTTCTCCCTGGAGTATATATTTTCCTTTTGTATCTCCTGCTACCACACTACTCCAATGATGCTCTGTTGATTGCTTTTCTAGAACAATTTCTAAACTACAAAGGAAGATATACAGGCGTTTCTGTATGAGATGGAATGGTATCATTTTGTAACATTTACACCGTTACCTTGGGTACCCAGGGCTAAAAGTAAAGGCTGTTCAGTTGGCCTCAACTGGCCAAATCAGTTTTAGCTCGGTCATACCTCGCTTCTGGCTCAACATTACTGTTCAAAATGACTAGAATTCCCCTCCATTTGCCTGACCATCCAAATTATTTGGAATCATAAGAATACCATAATTATGATCCCTTAATGTTAAAGTGCCTATGACCCCTAACTCAATGTTTTCAGCATTGATTCTACATGAAGTTAAAAGTTAAATAGTAAAATATTATTATATGATTTGAGTGATGCATCTTGAAGATATCAAGGTTTATACTTCCAGTATGCTAATGAGTGTGATGTCATAGTAGGCATTATTAAATATACGAAAATTTACTGGGGTAGTAAAATATCCTATATAAAACATAATTATCTTACTCAGGGTTTATAGAAAGGTTATTGTAAATTTGTTTCCTCATAGTAACCAGTTTTTGATTTAAAAATGATGACAAATAAACCCAATTGCCTACTATGACATAACACTCATTAGCATACTGGAAGTATAAACCTTGATATCTCCAAGATGCATCACTCAAATCAAATAAAAATATTTTACTATTTAGCTTTTAACTTCATGTAGAATCAATGCTGAAAACATTGAGTTAGGGGTCATAGGCACTTTAGCCTTACCTATTTTTACTCAACGTCCAGGTGCTTTCTCCAGCTTTGACCTTGGCAAACAGTGGGCCTTTAAGCAAAGTTTCCCCACTGAACAAGCTGAGCTCTATTTCATCAGGTTTTATGACACAAACAACATCATCTTTGGTTGTTCCCTCGGCAAGTTCAAAACTGACAGTGACTTCGTCACCCTCTTGGAACCAGGTGTATGTATATGTGGGTTGCTCTTCCTCATCTTCATTATCTTCACCATTCTTGCCCTTCTCATCACTTTGTTCTTTTTCTTGGATTTCTGTTTTTTCATTGTTTTGGCTTGAACTGTTGTTGTTATCTGAAAACCACATACAACTCAATTTACAAGCTGCAAATTAAACACTAAGCACAAATTAAGAGTGATTTTTTTAATGACTGTAAGAAATCAATGTAAACAGCATAATATTCCCTTTCACAATTCCATGTGCAATCATGAAATGTAGCCATGCCTTTGCATCGAAGCAAGACGAACGGTGAGCTTGCAATAATAGAGACTTGTGAATAAATTGTCCAAGGTGCTAAAAAAGGTCTCTATCATTGCAAGCTCACAGTTTGTCTTGCTTCAATGCAAAGGCACAGCTACCTTTCAAGGTGGTGCAGGGAACTGTCTGTGAAGGGACTACTATGTTGTAAAAAATTCTTCAATTTTATCAAACCTTGAAACACCCTCAGGAGTGAGATGATTCAGTGCATAACCTAGATCAAATTTGTATTTTTAAAATAAGCTAGTCTTTTTTTGGGAGGGGGTGGGGGTGGGGGTGGGGGCAGAAAACCTGGAGAAAAACCCTCGAATCGAGGAAGAGACCAAGCAAATACTACTTATGTGATGCTGAGTTCAGGAATCAAGCCTGACACCCTAGAGGTGAGTGCATTACAGCTATGCCACCCTATTGGTTCCCTCTTTGTAGACTAAAGTTACGAGATGTATAGATGATATACAAAGAGAGAAACTTTTCTGAAAATTTACTGAACATGTACCCACACTGTGTTTTTTAGCAGATAAATAAAATGCTGTAACATTCCAAACAAAAAAATTGCAAGTACCTTTTAACAAGTGAAAAGTCTTTTCACAAGCAACAATAACAGCTTTGTTTCCTGGTTCTATGACTGCATACAGAGGAGCACTCTGCCCTTGAATGTGCTTGATGGCCTCGCATGTGAAACTAGATGACCCTGAAGACATCAACTGAGAAAACACTCCAAGTGAGAGCTTGACAATGTGAGCTTTTTTAGCCAAGATTTCATCATCTTTTTCTATCATACTTAGCATTAGACAACTCAGTGTTCCAGTTTCTGCATCCTGGATTGCATGACTTATTTCAAATGGCTCTTCAAACTCATATACAAATGAGGTCTTCCATTCTGTACTGCCACACTTGGTTCTGCCTTCAGAGTGGATGATATACAGCTTTCCACAGCCATCCCCTACACATACGAATTCTTTTGAAGGAAAGGATATTGAAGTGTTCAATCTTTCCTTGCATTCTTCTGTTAATGGTATCTTGAACACACTCTCTAAAGTGTCTATGGTGTTACCCTGAAAGGCAAACAATGTCAGCTTTAATACCCATGGTGTTCAAACAAGAAAGTCATACAAAGAAAGAAAAAAGAACTTTCAAAACTTTGACTGTTTTAGAACAATAAAGAATATTTCAAGTAATCAAGGTCTTTAATAATTTCCCAAGGGAAATCAATAGCAGGTGTTAATTAGACATTTAATTCTTTCCAAGACATATGGTAAATAGCAAAATAAAATCAAAATGAAATATGTTCGATCATCGTAAGGGAAAGTACAAAGTTAACTATTAAGGAGTTGAGTTTACTGAAGCTAGCTACACGTGCTTTCGACATCTTCAAACGACATGAGCACAAAACCCTATTTTTAAGGAATAATAAGGTCGTAAACTACAAATGAATGCAAGAAATAAGACAAACTTCAGTCCTCACCTTAACGGTAGCTTGTTGGACTTCATTATTTTCATCTACGAAGTAAACTCGTTCACAAAGTGTGGAGTCCTGCCAAGGATCTATGGTAAGATGGTTGTGGCTACCAAAGGCACGAATGTATTGTAACGAGAATAAGTCATCTCTTTGGTTCACTACTTTAACATCAGAGACAAGGTTAGTAGAACTGACTTCAACCGGGTCTGCAGAGAGCTTGTACCCTTCGAATTTCGGATTCAACAGGGAAGAATCTGGATTTAGCGATTCGGTAGCCATTTTGAAAGCAGTCAAAATTACACAGGTAACCCATAACATGTACAATTTAGCACAAGTACCAACTTTTAGGAAAAAATCAAACAAAGTAACAAACAAACAAAACAACAAAAAAGAAATATATTTTTGACGAACATTTTGTTATCTGCAAATAAAAAGGCGAGTAAAAGGAGTACGAAGGGTAAAAGTTAATTAATTTAAAAGTTACTTTTAACTAAAAGTCTTTCATCAAAAGTTTTTACGTAAAGTTAAAAAAAGTAAGTAAAGCTTCTTAACAACTCAAAAATATTTCGTATTTTCAACAACAAGATGTACTTAATTAATGAGGGTCTTCGAAATGATAACATTGTTAAAAAGAAAACTGGAGTAAAATATTTTTAACTTGCTTTTATACTTGGTTACTTACATGTAACCACAAAATAAATATCTTGTGAACACTATTTCGAAGTCAAAAAGGCAGTTGACTTTTGAACATGATCATTTGATCGTATTTGAGTGCTTTTGTTCTAAATAAACAGCTATCTAAATTAAAACAGGTTATTCCAAGTATGATGGATGGTTACGACAACAAACAAACTGATCATAAACAGTCTGGCCTCGTTCTGATGTATGCTAATCAGGGCTGTTTATGTGAATTTATGTGACATCACTATGACAACAGCTGACGTAACAATGGTGGCGTGAGCAGTATAAATACCAGCCCGACGCCCAAGCCGCACATCAAAAAGTGAAAGTAAGGCGGCTGTTTGTGAGAGAGATCTTTAGCTTTATTTTACCAAAAAAATATCCAAATATGCGTGAAATTGTACATCTCCAAGCTGGACAGTGTGGAAACCAGATCGGTGCTAAGGTAGGTTTGAAAATTTGGCGTTTTTGTCTTGAAGAAGTCGCGCTGAAAAGAGATTTTTCCGCTTCAGTTTTGGGAGGTGATCTCGGACGAGCATGGCATCGACCCTACTGGAACTTACCACGGTGATTCTGACCTGCAGCTTGAAAGGATCAATGTCTACTATAATGAAGCTACTGGTAAGGAGTCACTTTTACATTACCATTTAGTAAAGCATGTTTGAACATAAAGGTTTAGAAAATGTCAATACTTTTTGGATGAAATTTCCAAGCATTTTATCTTTTGAATTCCTTCACATGAGAGTAGCTGAGATTCCTATGCTTTATGAGATATTGGAAGAAACACTTTATTCCCTCTCCTATCCTTTATCAAGTTAGAGGGTTGGGATGCTTGGGGTAGATAAACCGTCTTTGGGCACACTCAGTGTAATTCTATCAACGATCATCATTGCTGACCGGAGGCGTTCCTCTTTTATCCTTTTAGGAGGCAAATATGTTCCACGATGTGTATTGGTCGATCTAGAGCCAGGAACAATGGACTCCGTTCGTTCTGGTCCTTTTGGACAGATTTTCCGTCCAGACAACTTTGTCTTTGGTAAGTTCAAGTCGTGGCATAATTTAATGTTGATCCAGCTTCTTTGGTTCTAGCTTAGCTTTGAAATTTGCGAGAAACCTTATACTCGTTTTCTGGCTTTGTTTTAAAGGACAAAGTGGTGCTGGAAATAATTGGGCAAAAGGCCATTACACCGAGGGAGCAGAATTAGTGGATTCCGTCCTTGATGTAGTCAGAAAGGAGGCTGAAAGCTGCGACTGTCTACAAGGATTTCAGCTCACACACTCCCTAGGTGGCGGAACGGGTTCTGGCATGGGTACACTTCTAATTTCCAAGATCCGTGAGGAGTACCCAGATAGGATCATGAACACCTTCAGTGTTGTGCCTTCACCAAAGGTGTCAGATACCGTTGTTGAACCTTACAATGCAACTCTGTCAGTCCATCAGCTGGTAGAAAACACTGATGAGACGTACTGTATCGACAACGAGGCATTGTACGATATCTGCTTTAGAACTCTGAAGCTTACCACCCCAACCTATGGAGATCTCAACCATCTTGTATCTGCCACCATGAGCGGTGTGACAACTTGCCTGCGATTCCCAGGACAGGTTAGTGTTTTTACTATGTGGGTTGCTCAATTTGCTTTGTACCTAATATTTTTTTATAGTGGTGATCTCTTTTAAATGTGTGATGAAAAGTGATTTTACCATAGTTCAAAGCTTTTTTCTTCCTGTTTTGGCTTCAAATAATTTATTCAGATTATTTCAATAAAAGGGTCAGTCCCTCCCATTATCACACCTACGAAAGGTCAAAGTTATCATTGCTAAAGATTTTTCTAGTTCCTTTTAAAAAACTTGTTGAGACCAAGAAAGCAATAACTTTGACAATGATTAACGAAATGTCTTAACGTTATAGCTTAATGCTGACTTGAGGAAATTGGCTGTCAACATGGTACCATTCCCACGTCTCCACTTCTTTATGCCTGGCTTCGCTCCATTGACCAGCCGTGGATCCCAGCAATACCGTGCTCTAACTGTACCTGAATTGACACAACAGATGTTTGATGCCAAGAACATGATGGCTGCATGTGATCCACGTCATGGCCGTTACCTGACGGTTGCTGCCATGTTCCGAGGCCGCATGTCCATGAAGGAGGTTGATGAACAGATGTTGAATGTGCAGAACAAGAATAGCTCGTACTTTGTTGAATGGATCCCCAACAATGTGAAGACTGCTGTATGTGACATCCCACCAAGAGGACTCAAGATGTCAGCCACTTTTATTGGTAACAGTACCGCCATCCAAGAACTGTTCAAGAGAATCAGCGAGCAGTTTACGGCTATGTTCAGGAGAAAGGCTTTCCTTCATTGGTATACTGGCGAGGGTATGGATGAGATGGAGTTCACTGAGGTAAATATAATTATAATAATTATGATTTGACAGTTCTTGCACATTTGTTAAGTCACGCAACCGGAGAAAAAAGAGCATACAAACAATTTCTAAAGCAATATTCTCTGTTTGACAGGCTGAGTCCAACATGAACGATTTGGTGTCAGAATACCAACAATACCAAGATGCAACAGCTGAAGAGGAAGGAGAGTTTGACGAGGAGGAAGAAGAAGGCGAGGCTGCATAAATATTTATCCCTCAAGAAAATTCTTAAACTTATTTTGTGCTGAACCTAGAGTGCTATATGAGTAGAGAGCATGACTTTTAACCTGTGTTTTGGTTTGTTTATATTACCTGAATCTTTTATCACTTAAAATAATGCTATACAAAGTTTTAATTTTTAAGTGAGTACAGAATTTATTCGTTGAAGAAATATATATATTTATAGCCTGTGGATATTAAATGTCCGTTGAGTTGAGGTACTTATTACATGGATAAAACTACTTCCTTTGTTAATAAGCAGTTTGGAAAGACAGTATTATAATAAAGAGTGAACTCGGTTGTGTTTATTGAAATTTTATTTGTTTATTCAACTAGAAACAAAATAAAGGGTATTTGGAGCATCCATATATTAATAGCCGATTCCTTGCAAAAGAAATTATTTTGAAAAAGTGCAGCGTTTCTTCAATACATTAATTTATTAAAGGGCCACTTAGATGAAAACGCCCCAATTTTTCAGTCTGAATAATTGAAGCACTTGATAATTTGACTCAATTGTGATTATGTAAACCAGATTTGAAAATTTTTGCCTGGGAGCAACTTGCAGTTGAGAAATTTTGGGCTAAAAGAGAAAAGAACAATAGGGTTGAGTAAATGACATCATTTACTCMCAATTTATATGATAGATAAAATTAATAATTTTTATCTGACATTTTACTGTGAAGAAAATGTGTTGCTTGGCTACAATTTGGGCCATATAGATACGTTTGATTAAGTTTAAAGTCATTTCCAATTTTCATTTATTTTCGTCCAAGTGCCCCTTTAATGTAAATATTAATTATAATTATTATAATGAAAAAATCAACATTTCAATAATAATTGAGATATAAAAATCATTTCTCTACTTATGAAACAAAAGATGAAACTCCCGTCTGATTACCACAGGAAGCCCGCATACTATGTTTATCACATCCACATTTTTTCTAATGTATTTCAAGGCTGTTTACATCAAGTTAGATCTTGACCCATGACGATTGACCTCCCACGCTGTTTAGTTCTTGAATCTGTGTGAACTTGTAAAATTTGCTGGTTTAAAATTGAATATCTATCAAGCTATTGATTTAACGATAACCACCTTGTTATTACATCTTTAATTCCTTGAAGACGACCAAAAAGATCTCCCAAAAAGTAAATGCAGACGTCTGGAAAAAATAATCCGTTTCGTCACTTGATCCTTTATATACTCATTTTTCATCGATACGAACAAATAAAAAATAAAGAAGACAATCAAAGTAAACGCATTCTTATCACTTGAACGATTTTGATCAAGTGAACCGGAAGTGCGCTTGTCATAGAAGTGAGGCAACTTGATAATGATGAATGACCACCGGTTTCTGGTTTTTGTTTAGTGAAGGCTTCAATAATTCATATCATAGCGTAGACTGTCTTGTAAATGGCTTCTTTGAACCTAAGTGGCGGCCTTCCAGGGAAACAGAGATGAGGTACACAAGCCCTGCTCTTACGATTCCGTCCTCGAATCGAATCCTGAGATGCGAGAAATAATCAACGTTCAAGTTGGACAATGTGGGAACCAAGTTGGTTATAAAGTAAGTCACGTTTTCAATCACTAAAGTACTAGACATCCATCGCTCGCCTATGAAGATTTTATCGCTCGGAAGGTTCTTGTAATTGCGTTCTTTTAACCATATTGTATAATTATTTGGTTTATTTAGTTCTGGGATTTAGTCTGTGAGGAACATGGCATAGACCGCGAAGGAAAGTATAAAGGCAATTACAACAAGCAATTGGAAAAAATAGAGGTGTATTTCTCGGAAGGATCAGGTTTGTAAACGAATATAGCACGGTTCTAAATTCAATCAAGTTTACAATATCTTGACAGTAATACCCTTAAATACACCCTTTAATATCGCTATCTTTCACCGCAAATACCTGTCAGTATTCTGAACATCTTGGTACTTACGCAAGGCGATTATACCTTTTTTTTTTTTTCGTTTTACGTAGAACAACGCTATGTTCCTCGGTCCGTACTCGTGGACTTGGAGTCCGGTACTATGGACACTCTAAGGTCGTCACCCCTTGGCCAACTCTTTCGACCTGACAACTATGTTTTTGGTAAGCGTGATGTTGTTCAAATTATTCTTTACGCTATTTATCATAAAATCTTGTAAATCATCATAAACAACTCCCATATGCTTTTTTCCCATCCATTTTGTTATTCATTCACAGAATATACAAAATAATTAAGTTTTCATTTGGGTACTAGATTTCCTCCGTTTAGGGTCTAACTAATGTGTAGTATTCTTAGATCTGATTAAAGAAGTATGATGTCAGGATTCGATCTTGCGACAGAGTGATCTAATATTAGATCTCGAACTTTCGACCATTTCCTTAAGAAGCTACGTTGTTGGCACCATATCCGTTCGTTGTCAAGTTTGTTGTTTTCCGCGGTGCATCAGAATCTCCCTCGGCAAATGGCTTCAGAGCTATCCGCATTTTGTTAAATAGCATTTATGTTACATTGCTACCTATACAGATAAAAATATCCATTTCCTAAATCTGTAAATATTTGAATTTTCTACAGTTGCAGTTTTATTGTCGGTCAAAACGATTTTCGTGTACTATAATGTTATTAATTTTAGCAATGAATGACAGCGTCTAACGAAAATATCCAACCATGAATGCACTCGTATATCAATGATAATGTCAAAGAATTATTCACAAGTACTCCAATAAAACTTAAGCCACGCATTGTGTTTTCTATCAAGTGCTTGATCCTAAAAGCTTTACTGTCAATAGCGCACTTCAAATTGTTAATGTTCGTGCGTTTTTCGAAAAAGCGCAAACACGTTTCTCTTGTCTAAACTGGTCCATTAGCATATAACAGCATGTCATGTCTTCTCCCAGACTCACGCTGAGAATAAAATTTTCTTTCTTAAAATAAATCGCTAAAGCTTTTATACCTCATTATCCGTGGTTGGCGGGTTCTAAAAGTTTCGAAAGTTTCGGGTCGACGTTTGATAAAATATTCTTAACAAAAGTTGATGTTAACGTTACATAGATTTTGTAGGTTCGTGAGGTAATGCTATAGTTATGAGCAAGATTGTGGTTTGGCTTTTTCTGGTTCCATCTTAGAAATCTTACAAACAAACACAATAACAAGATATGATTGAGTGCGCTACCTGCAGCTATCATTTACATGACAGTTGTCGGCTATAACTCTTACATATTGTTTTTTAAAGCTGTGGGGTTTGCGGAAAAAGGGACCTTGAATAACACCAGTATAATCAGTATGCGCAAGCCATAAGAAGCTTTGCGGGGTAATGGATTCTATGTCACGCTGATTTACGCTTTCTCCAAACATCCTTCTTGTTATATTTTCTTAATGATACTTTTAACAAATAATTATTGAATTTTATTAAAATAATAAAGCTTAGTTAGTCCTTCATATGAAATTTTTTAACCCATAGTTTGACGAAAAACTGTTTGAATGCTTTGAAAACAGTTAAGAGAAGTTATATCGACTGAAAAATAACATTTATGACTGAGATAAAACAAAAAAGGTCTCAACATAATGTCCTTAATATGGTTGGTCCTATGATTATTCATAATCATAAAAATCACGCTGTTCTGATGGCCTGACTCTACGCATCAATAATTTTTTTCTAAAAAAACTCGGCAATAATAACCTTTTCAAATCTTGTCAGTCACTCCAGGCTTTAGAATATTTAATTTAAGTGTTTGTGACCCTAGTTCTAATAACTCTTATGCTTAATTGAGTAAAGCGCTGTCAGGCGTACGATGTGAGGTCAACCAAGTTTTTCCCACGAAATGCAAGACACTTTTACACTTGTTCTTGTGTCGAAGCTTGTACGTTACTAGTATTATCACTTTTTCCATTACGTCACGGCATTTATTTCTTGAACCATAGTTATTGGAGATTATAACTATTCTTGAACCTTGCCATCTCTTTGCCTGAAAGCCAAAAAGAAAGGGCGCTAGTTTAGACAAAATACAGTCACTTATCAAGATTTGTAAATGCTTGAATGCTTTGCGAGAATATGAAATATTTGTAAAATTTTAAGTAGACTATAATTATAGGACATTGAATGAAAGGAAATTGAATAATTGATTCGTGTGTTTTTCATTTTGATACGATTAGAAAAAGTGAACCGGTAGGTTTTACGGCGACTAGGGAATAACTTTTCAGTAAAAAATACAACTGACTCTCGGACGTACAGGAAAAATTTGCGCGATTTGAAGTGGATAACTAAGATGGCCGTTAATTTGCAAGAGGTTGGATTATGGATTATTCTGCCATCAAGAGCTTGTGTTGCAGTGTTGCATTATAAATTACAAACTTCTCACTAACTTTGATGAATACCATAATTTAATTTCTTTCCCATATTTTCTATATTTATTACAAGTAAGAATCAACAAATGATATGTTGGTTGGATATATTGGTTTTCACTTTATGGTGCACGATTTACTCGTGTTCATACTATTCATGGTTCATGCACTAACGCAGCTCAAATTTATTTACTTAGGCCCTCTAGTCTATTTCTCATGCAACACGTAACAACGTCTTTAGTTATCTCTCTCATCCAGCTCTGTCTGTCTGCCCGCATATCCTAGCTCTAAATATTTTCATGATGATTTCGATTCTCTTTCCACTTCGACAAAAGTACTGCTGAGCAAATGCTTCAATTCAGAGTGCAATCCTACTGTATTCATCAAATGATTGTCCAGATTTGTTAGCGCCAACGCCAAATGCGCACAGACTTTTAGCTTCAATATGAGTGCAGTCCTACTGTTTTTATTGAATAAACTTCCAGATTTCTTAGTGCTATTGTATTTTATCACAGGCAAATGTGGAGCAGGAAACAACTGGGCCAAAGGATTCTACTCTAACGGCTGCAATCTTATCGAGGAGGTACTTGATGCCTTACGCAAAGAAGCTGAGGACTGCGACACGATTCAAGGCTTCATGCTAACTCATTCCCTTGGGGGTGGTACAGGGTCAGGATTGGGTACACTTATTCTATACCACCTACAGGAAGAGTACCCGGACAGGATACTAAGCTCGATGAGCGTGTTTCCTTCGCCTAAAGTGTCTGAGATAGTAGTGGAGCCTTACAATGCGACGTTGGCTTTGCAGCAGTTGGTGGAGACGACTGACGAGGTGTTCTGCATCGATAACGAGGCGTTGTATGATATCTGCTTTAGAACTTTAAAGATTGATACAACTACGTATAATGACTTGAACCACTTGATATCGAACACAATGAGTGGACTAACGACATGTTTGAGATTCCCTGGTCAGGTGTGTGTGTCAAAATCATTCTTAGATACTATTGCAGTTGAATCCATGCGCGCGCTTCATTTTTCAGCGCTGGCATGCCGGGCTCTTCGCTAGGGAAAGTAGGGCTTTGGGGAAAAATTAAGAATTTAAATTTGCCTTTTCAGGCCCTGCTTTGGACTGTTTGTAATATGATTGCTATGAGATTCACGCCTGGTAGTTTTGAAAAACACTGAGTTATCGGCCCATCAGAAAACTGATGAATCATGATTCCATCTAAATCCTAGTTCTTCTCGTGACGGAAACCAAAAGGGTCTCAGGGTCACGGAAAGAGATTATGACATATAGACGAGTTATTACGGTAATGGAATTAGCTGAATGATTAGAATGCCAACTGAATTAATCTGAGTAGTAGACGGTGCCAAGTGTCTTTGAAGCTTTGCCATACTATAATATAAAACAGCTTAGATTTTCTAACATGTTTCGACAAGTACTGTCTAACTGACTAATGATTGAATATTAAAATAGCTATAACTTGCGTGACTGCGAAGAGTCACGACACGCGGTACGGTTACGGTACGGTATTGACAGCAACAGTTTAAGCTACCATACACGATGCACGAGATTATTGCTCACACGACTGACATCCGTACTGCTTGAAATTTTTTTCCCCATAATAGTCGCTTAATAGTAGCTCTAACTAAAACTAAAACAACCAAAATGTCGGATTAACGTAATTCTTTTGGTATTTAAAAAATGTTCGTTAGCCTTATGTAAGCATTAGAGTGCATACCATCTATCCGTGAAAAAGTTAACCAACAAACTTGTACAAATAAGTACAATGTTTTGTAGGTCTACGGTCTACTGAAGTTTGCTAAACTTACTAATTTGTGCAATTTCTTACGAAGTTTTTCACAGATATGTGGTATGTACTCTACTCGCCAATATCTATGGAAAACCTTGTAGGAAAGCGCACAAATTTGCACAAATAAGTAAGTTTAGTAAGTTTAGTTTAGTATACCATAAACCTACAAAACTTTGCACTAATTTTTAATATTTCGTTAGTTACCTTTTAACAGATATATGGTATGCACTCTAATATAAAATCTTGATTATGGACAATTGTTTTGCTTCAATAATCTCGGAATTGGAAATTAATATCACCAGAACTAAATCGCTTAATTTTCTATATAATTATCGTGATCTGTATGAAGACAAATAGTAGTAGTAGTAGTAATAATAATAATAATAATAATAATAATAATAATAATGATGATGATGATGATGATGATGATGATGATGATGATTATGATAAGTTGAAAAACAAGAAAAATACACGGAACTACTTGCAGGCATCAAAAAAGAGTGCAAAAGCTCAAGTGTAAATCAGATTAACATAGTGTNATGATGATGATGATGATGATGATGATTATGATAATAATGTTTAATATTTATAAATAAAGCGCAAATTAACATATGAATATGAAATATTAATAGATTTGGATATATTTAGAAAAGAGGCGGTTACTGTCTGTTTCCTACGCAGCCGCAGGCTATTATTGTCGTCACGCAACGCTCACTCCACTTAGTAGCTACTCAGGGGAGTAAGCGTTGCGTGACGACACTAATAGCGGCTGCGTAAGAGACTAGGAGACTACGGTTACTGTGAGCTYTTGAAATAAAACTCTAAATTTTTCAGCATTTCTTTAGCACAGCTCAGTCGACCGCAGTCAGTCATGATGCTACGCTTCATCTTGTCCGATTGGTAATCATGAGACCGCAATTCTTTCACTATAAAAACCGCACTAAGTTGAAGGCGTGAATAGAGACAGCTGTGGTCGAATGCATCCTCAAAGAACTTGCTGTACCCCGCAAGAGGTCTACAGATAATATGTTACGCAGAAGAGTTAAAACATTTATCGTTACCACCACCACCACCACCATCGTCATTTTCACCATCATTATCATAACCACCGCCATTTATAACATTAGCATCAATCATCAGTCATGTTAAAGCATTTGCGCTTCGCAAAGAAAACAGAGAAGTAGAATACGATGTCACAACTAATTAAAAATGTCTATTTGTTAAATTTCAGTCTTATAGAGAATAGAAAGAGAAGTATCTAGAATAATCTTGTTTACTGCAGCACATTCACAGAGAGTTTCTTTGCTCACGTACACTCACACTTCCACTACACACATGCAACACTCAACTGGAATAAAAACTTCGATAAAAACCATATTATAAAAGCTTTTCGAACAATGATATGTTTGCACATAGACTAGAACAGAAGGCACCTTGGATTTTCAACCCTGAGAGGCCTATAAAATTAATTTATTTGCAATTCAAATCTTTCACCTCCATCTACTACAGATGTTTGCTCACGTAAATCAACGATATTTTGAGATTGTCTTCCCGATAAAGAGTTGTTATGTTGCTATTTTTAGCTGTTTTATTGTAATCTTTTGTGGCCATGCATGCTTTCCAACTATTAATGTAACCAATGGTGGTTTCAATGCGGTTTTTGTTTCTCGTTACAATTGCAAGTTAGTGTTTTTGTCTTTTTGGCGACAAAATTAGCTTATCGCTACCACCTTTTTGCGTAAGAAAGTACAGAAATAGTAACAGTGAAGAAAAAATAACAATATAGACACGTTTTCATTGGGTTTTTTTCGACGGACACAGAAGAAGTATGAGATTTTTAAATATAGTAGCCAGCCAATCAGCGCGCGCGTTATACCTCAAATATTTTATTCAGTCAACTACCGCACGCGGTTTATTTCAAATATTTTACAAGTGCATATATAAAATACGTTTAAATTTTCTACCATTAAATCATGATGTTACTAGTACTATGGAGTGGTGCGGCAGTCGGTAAAAGTTTTGTAAACTAAAAGAAATACTTCTCAGTTGTTAGTAAAGCTTCTGTGGGGAGCTAGTTTAAGAAAGGGTTATTTACACGAAACAGTTAGAAATCATTAAAATGTTAAGACATGTTGTGCATGCTAGTCTCCTACGCAGCCGCTATTAGTTTCGTCACGCAACGCTTTCTCCCCTAAGTAGCGCCGCTACTTAGGGGAGTAAGCGTGGCGTGACGACATCAATAGCGGCTACGTAGGAGACTATGTGCGTGCACGTCAAGTCAATACCGTCCGTTTCAATTCCACTCGTGCAAAAACCAATCGAATGCAATATGTTGGCGCAGTCCGCTGTAAGGTAAAAAATTAACCGCATTCTGTAAAGAGATACGCTTGCGCAGACTGAGAGAGAAGAAATGCTGTTCAAAGTCTGCAAATGAAAAAGGTTACACTTGATCTGCAAAAGAGATAGGTGGCGCTTGGTGTCAGCGCGTAAAGGATCGCGCGAACGCTTCCTGTAAGAGGAACGAGAATTGCGCTCTTTCTGGAATAGAAGCAAGCTTCTCGTGGTCGGTGAAGAAAAAAAATGAATATTTTTTAGAAGTTACTATTAACTGAAACGCAATTTTGCTCCATTTTTGCTGTATTAATGACGAGACTTTCTTTTCTTCCACAGCTGAATGCAGACTTAAGAAAGTTGGCAGTAAACATGATCCCATATCCTCGCTTACACTTTTTCATGCCAGGATTTGCACCCTTAACAAGTCGTGAGTCTGTATCTTATCGTGCCATAACTGTCGCTGAACTCACTCAGCAAATATTCGACGCCAAGAACATGATGATTGCTTGCGACCCACGAAACGGTAAATACTTGACATTCACGGCAATGTTCAGAGGATTGATATCAATGAAGGAAGTGGAAAACCAAATGCTCGCCCACCAGAACAAGAACAGTTCGTTGTTCGTTGAATGGATTCCTAATAACGCTAAAGTGGCAGTTTGTGATGTCCCTCCAACGAATATGAAGATGTCTGCCACGTGTATCGCTAGTAATACGGCTATTCAAGAACTATTTAAGAGAATGCTTGAGCAATTCACTGCGATGCATAAGAGAAGAGCCTTTGTTCATTGGTTTACTGAGGAGGGTATGGACGAGAAGCAGTTTTCTGAGGTAGGCCGGCAGTCGTTCTATAAACAAAACTAAAATATACTTATTTGTACAAGACAAACGTATTGCGTGCTTCCACATACACCTATTTCGAAAAACGTCGTCATCACCAAAGGCTTACGTCACTACTACAAACAACATTGAACCAGTCTCAACACTAAGGTCCATGTTTTTGACGAGAATAAGAAGCAGAAACCCAAGTCATTCCAGCTATTCTTGGATCTTCTTCTTCTCTTGGATTATCTATCTTTTATTGCTTTTCGCCTATCGCCTATTATATCTATCGCGATGACAACGTTTTTTGAAATAGTTTTATACGAGCAGTGCATACGAGTAGTGCATACGAGTAGTGCAGGATGCGTGAATCTAAATTTTAAACTTTAGAAGGAAAGATCACAGTGACACCATCCCTTGGCAAGGAAGTTTAAATATACTTCCATGAGACCTTAATCTCAGTTTTGTTTTCTAAGCGCATAATAGGAAAGTTGTAGACTTGTCTTTATTGCTTGTCATGCAGCTATTTGTTATTTTCATGCGTGTGTCTGTCGGGGGGAGGGTGTCGGGGGGAAGGGTTAGGAGAGAAAAGATATTGAGCCTGGTATCGCGACAATCAAATTTTTTGATGACATTCTTGGGTAGCAAAAGAGAGATTTAGCATCAAGATGTGAACGTCAAAGACGACAGCGCTAGCGCACCTGTTGCGTGAGCGCGCAGTCCTCAAGGTGGATGACGTCCTCGACAGGACATAAAAATGCTGCAAATAGCGTCCTGTCGGACTGTCAAGGACATTCAACATTCTACCATGTTTAGGACGGCGCGCGAAAGAAAAATGCACTCGCGCCCGCGTCGTCTTTGGCGTTCGCGTCTTGATGCTAAATCGCTTTGATATCCAAGAGTTTGTACCGATGGAATGTCATGGAAATGTTTTGACGGACGTCCATAAATCCCTATTTTGTTGCGTTGGCAAATGTTATTATTACTAAAAAACAATGAAAACAATAGTAACTATACAAGACTTTTCTTACTTATTCTCATTTTTCAGGCTGAGAATGAGGCAAGGGATCTCATAAGTACTTATCAACAGTGCGAAAACCTGCGGGTAGAGACAGACCTCGATGACCTAGAAATTGAAGAATATGAAGTATACGACGACTCCTTAGAAGCATGGGACAGTCTAGATGTAACGAATGACTCACTATTAAATGACTCCATCAATGAATAAGAAAGATAATCCCAGATGTATCTAATGACGAGGATGACCTCTGAGCCATATACTAGGCCACTAATGCAAGATGAATATGAAATTTAGTCCTTACCAAGAAGCTACTGAATTCATTACTACTTCGAATTCTTTAAAGGAGGTTTTATAGGCACTTTCAAACTTGGCATAGTGCCTTGCAAGAACTGAACGATACACCCGCCAAAGAAAATAATAAAATGGTCGCAAAATTAATGGAAAAAGAAATGGGAAACGTCTGAACGAGAATTCAACTATGAAAAAGACAATAAATAATAGGATTTGAATCAATATTTTTAAATGCCACACAAAAGTATTCCATTAACAATTTTGTCTTGGTTAGACAATACGAAAAAATTCAGCAGACTTTACGAGAAGGCAAATATACCTACAAAGAATTTTCACATGTAAATGGACGATTGAAGATATAAGAGAAAGACTTTCAAGGGTTTGTGCGAAGTTTTAAAGACGTTCAGCCATGAGAAGAAAGCAAGAATAATTTTACTTTTTTGCACGACATAATTGAGTCATATTGCACTTGTTTCAGTTAGCAAGAGCATAAAAATGCAGCACGCTTCGCTCAACACTACAATCAATACCTGACTAGCTCATTTTTTATTAGGGCAATCATTGATTTGTTGTCATAGATGGATCCAAAACGAATATCGTTATTAATGCGCAAGTACTTTATCTCAAGGCACACAGGGACTGCTGGTCAGTTGATATTCCTACTCTTGGCGATAAAATAAGTCTTGCGCATTTCATTGTTAATACAATGAGTTGATTCCATTCATATCATTGCTCTGCGCTCCAATAATTAATAATGAATAAAATGCTTTTATCAACAAAAAGTCTATAAATCTGTGTGAAGAAGGGAGTAATATTCTAGAGAAGGCCATTGGTGGTTTAAATCACATCGTTACGTCGACGTTTGGCATCAAAAATGAGAAAATCAGACGAAAAAGTTATCGATCATAACAATGGAAGGCGTCTTTTTGATTGGCAGATCGATATAATTAATTTTTGAAAGGTTTATGAAGTGATCATTTGTTTACATGTGCGCTTGTTATCATACCCTTGGCTATTAACATGCTTGCGCGCTCAAGAGCTTCTTTACACACGCCTGGCTTGCGCGGCATGCTACAAAAGAACCAAAACACACACATCCATGCGCGCAAACTAAAGGAGATCCAATCTACACATATCGTAGTTGGGCGCCATCTTACAAAAGAATCAAAACACACACATCCATGCGCATAAACTACAGGAGATCCAATCTACGCATATCGTACTTGGGCGCCATCTTACAAAAGAATCAAAACACACACATCCATGCGCGCAAACTAAAGGAGATCCAATCTACGCATATCGTACTTGGGCGCCATCTTACAAAAGAATCAAGACACACACATCCATGCGCATAAACTACAGGAGATCCAATCTACACATATCGTACTTGGGCGCCATCTTACAAAAGAATCAAGACACACACTTCCTGCGCATAAACTGCAGGAGATCCAATCTACACATATCGTACTTGGGCGCCATCTTACAAAACAATCAAGACACACACATCCATGCGCACAATCTACAGGATATTTGATACAGATGCTTGCTTATTTCTGGACTCATTTTTACCCAATTTTTCTTCCATTACAAGGAAATTACTTATTACTTGTTTTGCGCAAAACACTTTTTAACGTGAATCAGCCGTAAGATAGATGCGTTCTGTCATGCAGTGACTGATATTCCGTTTTTAAGTCAGTCGAAATACTCCCTCGGGGTATTGGCCATAAGTCGAGGAACTTCCTTTCTGAAAACTTTTCTGTTTGTGATAAACGCTGAAAATCTCTGGGATTTTCTGAGATAATGAGCTGCATGCATGTGAGATACTTTTCTTCTCAAGGTATATCCCACGATGTATTAGGTCGAATTGTAATTAATAATTAGGGCGTGTATTCACGACGATTCTAATTACGATGGAGCGGTTTAAAACGTGGGAACTGGTTATTGATTTTCCTTGACGTCCCAAGCCCGCCAGTACGGAAAGCGTGGTCTTTTATATACACAGTACATGTATCAATAGAGTTGATCCACAGTACAGTTTGGCTTTTCATCCAAGTGCCTCTTTAAGTCCATCAAATACGTATGCTGAATTCACCCTCGCTGCTGAAATCGAATAAGGAAATGTTGCTTTAGTTTGTATAAAGACATGATTGTAGTTATAAAGGAATTGTTTATAAAACCTTCGGAAAAGAGAGTTTGTACGGATCCATCGGCTACCAATGAAATGTGAAATGTACCTCCGGCTCGAACAAAAAAGTTTTGTCTTGGGGCTAAGGCCCCTCTCCCCCAAGACTCACGACTTTGCCATCAAACACTACAGGAAATATTAAACTTGCCGAACAAAGAAGGTTTACTTTAAGCCCTCGATTACACGCGCTAACGAGCAGCTAATGAAGTGTAATTTAATGTTTATTAAAGGGTCATTAACACCAAGTGTATTTCATTAGTATGGACCTCTGGCTGTTAATCCTGGTAAACCTACGCATTTAATGTGGATTATCGTGAACAAAACTCTCACAATAAGGAGTGATTTTTAGATTTAACGCAGTAGGACAACTGCATGGTTAATTTGTAGGGCATGTCTGATGGATTAATTTAATTTATTGGCAACAAAAAAGGTATTCAAAATTCTTTTTGAGGAGCTTCATAAAATTATGAAAAAAGTAACAAAATTCAACGTTTTTTTTCTTTAATAAATTATTGAGTTTTACAGTTTTTTCCTTATTTCATTGGGCCAGCACTTCGTACAAGTCATTGTTTTCACTTCTCCCCCTTCCTTTGTAAATGAGAAAGATTTCGTGTCATTCTCGTTGACTGGCTCGTTAAACAAATCAACAAAGACTGCTACTCTCTACATTTGTTTGTCATGAACCAAGTTTAGAGCATACATTATGTTTGCTCATATTCATTACAATGACACCTCGAAGTTTGCTTTTGTTCAAAGCCTTTCAAACATTTGAATGTCACTTTGTTCTAAGCTTTGCTCTTTGTGAAAGTGAGGGACCCCGAGTTATTACGCTTTACAGTGTTGAGTTCTTGGGTGCATCTTTGTTGAAGCAACTTTAATACGACCTTATGACCAACAATCATTGGACAATTTAGTCCATAAAGCCAATAATGTTTTTGAGAGATCTCGCTACAAGGCTTACTGAAAGAAAGGCATTCATATTGAGATTTATACTAGCATTTTGTTTGGATTCGTTTATTTACAAGGACAACAAAAGAGGTTCAAGTCATAACCACAGCAAGGAAGGTGCTTATAGGCCACCAGGGAGTCAGCTAATAGTCCTTGTTTGTTCCGCTCATTTATGGTTAAACGTCAGCGTAAAGAATCTTCAAAACAACTCTACGCTTTGCTGAGGCAACTCGAGGAGAATAGGAACCCTTTTTACCAAAAACGTAAAACTCATTGAATCATGCGCGAGATAGTTCATATGCAAGCTGGCCAATGCGGCAATCAAATTGGAGCTAAGGTATGTTGAATTTCAACTGATCTCAACGAACGCTTTCCACATTGGCCAGATTGTTTATGAGAAGCTTTATTCTTTACTAGTTTTGGGAGGTGATCTCGGACGAGCATGGCATCGACCCTACTGGAACTTACCACGGTGATTCTGACCTGCAGCTTGAAAGGATCAATGTCTACTATAATGAAGCTACTGGTAAGGAGTCACTTTTACATTACCATTTAGTAAAGCATGTTTGAACATAAAGGTTTAGAAAATGTCAATACTTTTTGGATGAAATTTCCAAGCATTTTATCTTTTGAATTCCTTCACATGAGAGTAGCTGAGATTCCTATGCTTTATGAGATATTGGAAGAAACACTTTATTCCCTCTCCTATCCTTTATCAAGTTAGAGGGTTGGGATGCTTGGGGTAGATAAACCGTCTTTGGGCACACTCAGTGTAATTCTATCAACGATCATCATTGCTGACCGGAGGCGTTCCTCTTTTATCCTTTTAGGAGGCAAATATGTTCCACGATGTGTATTGGTCGATCTAGAGCCAGGAACAATGGACTCCGTTCGTTCTGGTCCTTTTGGACAGATTTTCCGTCCAGACAACTTTGTCTTTGGTAAGTTCAAGTCGTGGCATAATTTAATGTTGATCCAGCTTCTTTGGTTCTAGCTTAGCTTTGAAATTTGCGAGAAACCTTATACTCGTTTTCTGGCTTTGTTTTAAAGGACAAAGTGGTGCTGGAAATAATTGGGCAAAAGGCCATTACACCGAGGGAGCAGAACTAATTGACTCCGTCCTTGACGTGGTCAGAAAAGAGGCTGAAAGCTGCGACTGTGTTCAAGGATTTCAGCTCACACACTCCCTAGGTGGCGGAACGGGTTCTGGCATGGGTACACTTCTAATTTCCAAGATCCGTGAGGAGTACCCAGACAGGATCATGAACACCTTCAGTGTTGTGCCTTCACCAAAGGTGTCAGATACCGTTGTTGAACCTTACAATGCAACTCTGTCAGTCCATCAGCTGGTAGAAAACACTGATGAGACGTACTGCATCGACAACGAGGCATTGTACGATATCTGCTTTAGAACTCTGAAGCTTACCACCCCAACCTATGGAGATCTCAACCATCTTGTATCTGCCACCATGAGCGGTGTAACAACTTGCCTGCGATTCCCAGGACAGGTAGTTTAATCCTTTTATCATACAAGGTTACTTGTAACTATATAATATATATAACATTATATAGCAATTGATATTTATGGTAATGAACTATGGTGGGGTAATGCTCGTTCTTTTTCTTACAGCTTAATGCTGATTTGAGGAAATTGGCTGTCAACATGGTACCATTCCCACGTCTCCACTTCTTCATGCCTGGCTTTGCTCCATTGACCAGTCGTGGATCCCAGCAATACCGTGCTCTAACTGTACCTGAATTGACACAACAGATGTTTGATGCCAAGAACATGATGGCTGCATGTGATCCACGTCATGGCCGTTACCTGACGGTTGCTGCCATGTTCCGAGGCCGCATGTCCATGAAGGAGGTTGATGAACAGATGTTGAATGTGCAGAACAAGAATAGCTCGTACTTTGTTGAATGGATCCCCAACAATGTGAAGACTGCTGTATGTGACATCCCACCAAGAGGACTCAAGATGTCAGCCACTTTTATTGGTAACAGTACCGCCATCCAAGAACTGTTCAAGAGAATCAGCGAGCAGTTTACGGCTATGTTCAGGAGAAAGGCTTTCCTTCATTGGTATACTGGCGAGGGTATGGATGAGATGGAGTTCACTGAGGTAAATATAATTATAATAATTATGATTTGACAGTTCTTGCATATTTGTTAAGTCACGCAACTGGAGAAAAAAAGAGCATACAAACAATTTCTAAAACCAATCTTCTCTGTTTGACAGGCTGAGTCCAACATGAACGATTTGGTGTCAGAATACCAACAATACCAAGATGCAACAGCTGAAGAGGAAGGAGAGTTTGACGAGGAGGAGGAAGAAGTAGGCGAAGAGGCCTGAACAAAATTTCACAACCTTTCCTTGTATACAATTTGGTTCCTAAAAGCTCAACCAGGTGTAGAATCGAAGTTTGGAAATTAGAAAGGCTTTTTTTGCTGGGAACTATATAACTGAAGATATATTCTAACACGTGTAAATAGCATGTTGAAACTCAGATGATGCATTAAGTCTATTTTTAACAAAGTCGACCTTTCATGTATGAGGTTTCTATTTCTAACAATGTAAATGATGAAGTCAATAAATTCAGTCGTAAATTAAGGTTTTAGCTTCAAAAAAACTTGAAAGTTTTACTCTTACTAAATAGACCTCTTTACTTTAAGCGTAGTTTTTTCTTTTTCAAACAACTGGTAATTCTGTTGAAAATAAGATTCATTTGAATTGTATCCATAGTCATTTATCTTATCATACGCAACCAAGAAATAATATTTTAGGGAATGACACGTGGTTTGAAATGGGAAAACCGTTACACCCTGCAATATGGTAAATAGCTAAATACATGTTGAATACATGCACGGGAATCTAAGGCACGTGTGAATGCCTTGGAAACTCTTGCTTAACTTTTGATGAAATTTGTCACAATGGTAAATGTTGTAAGTTGGAAGTAGCTCAGTTGTTCCAGTTGAGGTAAGTTTGAATTTCATTCATTTCTTCTAGTTGCATATGCTTGGCATCTAAGTCAAATTTTTGGTACCTTACCAGCATGCTATAACTGAAGAATAAAATAACTGTATATAGAATGGCTTGATTGTGGACACTCTCTGGACATAGGGTCCCTGGTCAAAAATAACATTCAGTTGAGACTATAATTATTAAGCTGCCAACATATTATTCTATTTTTCTCTTATGCTGGCAATGCTGTTTTTGTTGCATTGACAGCAGGAGATGAAGCAATCTCATACCCAGAGGCCACTTTCCTCTTGGTCCTCTGGGTACGAGATTGAAGACGAAGCTGCAGCGTGCATCATGTTTCACAAATACAGGGACAATAAGGTATTGTAACAACAAAGGGTTTTACAGGACTTCAAATGCTTTGTAACATCTTTAAATTTCATTTGTTCATACAGTAAAAGATTCTGTTTGTGCAAACAAGCTAGAGAATTATGTGTAGTTCCAGACATTATCCATTACACCCCCTCCTCCCACAAAGTCCTCAAGTAAGCTAAGTTGTTATCTTAAGCCTCTAATATTTGAGATATAAACATTGACTAGCTGGCTGCCATGTTTACATAAAACAATACTATTTTATCAAAGCAACAGAGAACATGGAGATGCAAAACCATAATCAATAACTGTGTATGTGTCTTTTTGTTATGAATTGTTCTGGTTGAGTGATGGCAAGTATTAGTCACTAAACATGACTATTTGTCAATATCAATTTTGATTTTATTTCATGGTTTTACTTCATCTGCTCTATAAAACTGCTGCTTATTTTTATGCTTTATGATAAAAACATAAAACAGGCCCATAGCCACTAAGTCAGTTGGTTCTGTTTCAACCAGACCATCCCCCCCCCTCTAAAAAATATATATATTACAGAAGTAAAGGCTAATACAAAATCACTACCAGCTTCCACTGAAGAAATGAAAAACGTGCATGTGTGCTTTGTGTGAAATTGCTGAGATTGGCAGAACACGAGAAAAGTTTTAGGAGAAGCATGATGCATAGCACACTACACACATTACAGCAAGCAAGTTTTTTATTTCTTCCATAAAATACGAATTAAAATTCCCATTATTTTGGATACGAATGACAAAATAGAAAGTGTGCATGCATACTGTGTGCTCTCATAGAGCACAAGCTCCCATCTAATCAGGATGCAAGATTCATAACAGTTATTTTATAATTTTGATTCATTAATTATATTTCACCAAGGAATAATTTCTCCTTTATAGTCGAAGAACATGCCAGATTTACTCTGATCTAAAGATGAGATAACCCTCATCATCCTAGTCACACTTTCTTGCGGCGTGATCAAAGCATTTGGACCACCATTGGGTGTCTTCACCCACCCTGGATTCATAACTATCGAGGTAATCCCGTACGGTTGCAAGTCTACACTCAGTGACTTTGTAATCGCGTTGAGAGCTGCTTTGCTGCCACGCGAAGGGTACAGTTTACCAGAAGTATTATCAGCAACAGAAGCAGTCTTGGCTGATATATTCACAATGAAGGCGTTATTTGTTCGCTTCAAGAATGGAAGTAGGGCTTTGACGATCATTAGTGGACCAACAGCATTTGCTTGAAAGTTGTAGAGCATTTCATCTGCAGTCACGCTCTCTATAGTAACATGTGCTGTCACACCTGCATTATTGATGACCAAATTCAGCGCTTCTTCTTGTAAAACTTTACCAACTTCAGCTGCAACGTTTGCAATATCTTCTTCATTGGTCACATCTAGCTGCAGAAGGTGTAAGTTGGGATGTTCTTGAGTGAGATTCCGGAGTTCTTGAGATCCTTCATGCTGCAAAGCTCTACAAGTGGCGAATAGATTTTGAGGAGGTTTTGGAAGGTGAAGAAACTGCTTGACAAACTCGAGTCCTATTCCTCGATTACAGCCAGTGATAAAGACGTTCCTCAGGTAAGCCGCCATCTTGTCTAACTTATACACAGGGAACACAAGCTCGGTTTTTGTGTCAGTATATTAGAGAAATATATTTGGTTTCATGAATTTTGGAAAATTCGACAATCTGCCTTGCTTAAGACAAGCTTTATAAGCGCAATCAGAGTCTTTTACTCCTTCCTTGCTATTTTTGTTAACACATAATGCCAAATACACGAGGAGAGACTGGGGCGAGGACAAAATGTCTCCTTAAAATACAACCCCCCTCCTCCCCTCGTTTAGAATACTTTTCACGTATCTCAGCAGTCTAATTTTGACTTGAGTGTTTTATTCAGCTTAGGACCGTAGGTAATCCAGAAAAGACCCTAAAATTTTAATAGTTTAATACTTGTTTTGATATACATGTATTTCCAGATTTCTGTTTGTATTTTTAACCTAGCCCCCCCTTGATTTGTATTCCCTTTTACCCTGCACTTCGAGGACAGCACTGCATATATTATCCACCGTTGTCGTGGGTCTAGGATTAAGAAGAGGGGTGGGAGGTGGTCAAAAAGTAATGGGCCAATTTTAGGGATGAACCTCGAAGAGGTTCACTTTGCGCATATTAAACTGGTGCAGGAATATTGAGAATGTAAATTTGCCTTTTTTCTGAGTTGGATATGTAATTTACTAAATTCTGTCCTCAGTTGTGATGACAGGGTCAAACGGTTACCTGAAATCTTTGTTTTTGCTTTTACATGTCACATACCAAAGTTTTTTTAATGAGTGTTTTTGTATTCTTTGTCTGGTTATTGCTACAACAGGTGCCTTTAATGCCTTTAGTGTCCATTAGTTTATTAAAGTGTCAATGAGTGTCAAAAATTGAAAGGAATAGCTAGAAATGAAGTACTTTCTTACCATGGAACAATTTCTCCTTTGTAATCGAAGAACATGCCAGTTTTACTCTGATCTAAAGATGAGATAACTCTCATCATCCCTGAAACACTTTCTTGTGTTGTGATCAAAGCGTTTGCCCCCCCAGCACGTGTCTTCACCCACCCTGGATTTATAACTATCGCAGTTATACCGTCGGGCTTCAAATCCACACTCAGTGACTTTGTAATGATGTTGAGAGCGGCTTTGCTTGCTCGTGAAGGATACATTTTACCAGAGGTGTTGTCAGCAACAGACGCAGTCCTTGAAGAAAGGTTCACGATGACTGCCTTATTAGGTACACCACTAGTCGGGTCTTCTAGTGCTGCTCGCGGCTTCAAGAATGGAAGCAACGCTTTTATGATCATCAGAGGGCCTACGGTGTTAGTTTGAAATGCTTGCATCATATGATCTGCTGTAACATCCTTTAGATCTTCTGCCAAATACAACCCAGCATTGTTAATGACCAAGTTCAAGCCCTCTTCTCCTAAGACTTTACCGACTTCAGCTGCAACTTTTGCAATATCTTCTTCATTGGTCACATCTAGCTGCAGAAGGTGTAAGTTGGGATGTTCTTGAGTGAGATTCCGGAGTTCTTGAGATTCTTCATGCTGCAAAGCTCTACAAGTGGCGAATATATTTTGAGGAGGTTTTGGAAGGTGAAGAAACTGCTTGACAAACTCGAGTCCTATTCCTCGATTACAGCCAGTGACAAACACGTTCCTCAGGTTTCGCTCCTGACCTTCCATCTTGTCTAACTTATACACAGGGAACCCAAGCTCGGTTTTTGTGTCAGTATATTAGAGGAAATATAGGTGGTTACATGTACTTTGGAGATTTCAAGAGATATCAAGAATCTGAGTCTTTTACTCCGTCCTTGCTATTTCTTTGCACTGCATTCGTTATCCACCTTTGCCGGGTGCCTTGAGAACATCAACCTTGGATTGAGAAAAGGGATGGGAGGTGGCAAGAAAGTAATAGTGGACCAAACTGGTGAAGGAATATTGAGAATGTGAATTTGATTTTTCTCTTGGTTAGAACCCAAGGGAAATACGATGCTATGAAAAAATATTACAGATTAGCTTATTCTTTCAGTAATAATATTCAAAAGCCAATTGTTTAAATGAAGCCTGTATTTGCCCGTGTGTCAGAATAAATGGATGCGTTATTTTGTGTTCTCAGAAGCCAAGTAGTGCGGCTGGAAAATCGTGCATGAGTGGGAAAAAAATTATATGGTCATTATTTATCGAGAGGGGGACTGGTGCAAATAGGGAGTGGGTCAGTATTTTTTATGCATAGGTTTAAGCAAAAAACAAAAAAGCCAAAAAAAAACAAAAAAAAAAAGGGGGGGGGGGGGGGGGTCAGAAAAAATCAAGGAAAGCATATTTCATAATGCACCAGGCCCCCCTCTCGATAAATAATGACCAGTCCCTAAAGAAATATTGTGCCTTTTTGATTTAAAGTGAATCATCTTTTAAAGTACTAGATCTGAGGAGAAGAAGAAGAAGAAGAAGAAGAAGAAGAAGAAGAAGATGATGATGATGGATAAGGAGGAGGAGGAGGAGGATGAGAAGCAAGGACAAGAAAAACGAGAATTTTACGGGCTAAAAATAAAGGAGAACAGAAAAATCAAGAAGAAGGTATGTTTTAAGGAACACTGATTCGTAGTGTCTTGCATTTTTAGTAAGCGAAGTGGTCACTAACGCAAAAAGTGTGGAAGTCTTCGCTCAAGTCGCGCTTGCGCGGAAAAAAGCTCTAAAAAACAGTGTTAACGATTTTGCTTGTAAAGTTTTCCATATTGGATAAATTATTCTGAAGGCACATAGCTTAAAGTATTCCGCGCAACCCTTGGGGAAATACTGCTACGAAAGACACCTATTCACCACAACATTTTCATCATTGCTATTGCCTCATGCATAGAGTGCGCGATGCTCAGGTTGCGTTTCCATTTCATTTATTCTATGGACAGTGAAATTTTTTTCTGAGATTTTATTCTAATATCTCATTCCAGGTACCTTTCCTTACTTGACGTGACCGAAAACTAAAGCTACTTTTCCAATGGGATTTCTGAAAGGTAATAAAAATTTAGGATTATGTGATTATTCATTAGCGGATCCAGGATTCGGAGGGTTAAGTTTATTATGTTTATTATTATGAGAAAAAAAATCCCCCACGCCCTCTCCCCTCCCCCCTCCCCTCCCCCCTCCCCCTGGATCCGACCCTGATCATTCAGGGTTTTTAGAGGAGCGATACAGATCACTGGCCACTAAATTTAAAGATTGCAAATTATTAGTGTTGCATTTTAGGATTAAGGATTTTTATGGGTCATCTATTTTAAGGATAAATTTGTTTACAAAACTCAAAACTCGGATAGAATTTACCCAGGATTATGGATTATTCAGACCGCCTTCCCCTCTCCCTGAACAGGACTTCAATTATATGTATGTATTTCAACTCATACTGGAAACCAACTTCTTAGTCCTGACCAGTTATTAAGTGCGCATGTAACATAGAACAGTAATGTAAAATCTTTAGCCCCCTTTTCTTCTGTCTGCATAATAAGTGACCCTCCCCTTGAAATTAGTTGAATTATTGACCCTCCCTTTATGTAGTATGAAATATTTAATGGCCCTGCTTTTTGACTAGGTAGAAATTTAAGGGTTTTCCCGTGGATTCCTTTGGCCCACCCCCTCCTAACCTGCTAAAAATGAATGCTCCCTTACTACACTTAGGTGTGTGCAAACTATTTTACACATTGTTTAAGTTTCCTTCTTATTCACTCATTGGACCATAATGAATGGAGTCACAAAAATAATAACACATATTTTACTCAAACTTTTTTTAATTCAGAAGGACAAGCACATTCTTTATTTGTGATTCTGTAATAACCACAAGCTTCAGACTAACAATGAATTACAAGATGGAGAAAAAGGTTTAGAGAAATGGGAAATGTTAGTTTTATTCATGAGAGATTCATTTACTAGAACCTAAATAATATGCACAAGTGAAAAACCATCAAGTCTGGACAATAAATTATTTAGCTTTCTCTTTCTGGAACTGGTAGTGTAGTTTAGCTACATCAATCTGATACACCTTGATCCAGCCTGTCTCTTGCATGTGGTATACTGAAACAAGAAGTCAAACTAGGTAAGAATGGTGTACCACTTATGCACTTTCTTCAACAACAACAACAACAACAACAACAACAACAAAAAGGATGTGAGACTTCTATACTGAAATGTGCAGCATTCATTAGCAATTATATATTTAGAGTTTTTCAATAAGCTTTTTTGTGTTTCATTAGCAGGTTGCATTCTGGTCTAGCTTTGGTACGAAAATCTCCATGTTGTGGGAAAAGCTGGGTCAAGTTGGAATTGCAGTCGGTGTGGTCTGTCTTAAGGGACACTTCATATTTCCAGGCATCTATTTTTACCCTAAAACATTTCCACATTGCACTACAATGCCAACTTGATTTTACCAAGTTCTTTCCGCAACCTCTGAATGGCTAATAAGGCATGATGAGCAAAAGATGTTCTTCTTGAAGCAACACTAGAATGCACCATGTTCACTATCCCAAAAAAGTCTATAGGCTGAGTACGGTTTTCAAGCTGTCATCCCACAATAGACCTCCTCGGCTCTGGAGCGTTCAAGCGTAATGTTGTTCCATTTCAGACCACGTGTCATTCCCTTGAGAATAATATTCTTTGTTTGAGTTGTATCCATATTCATGTGTCTTCWAATGTGCAACAGAGCGCAAACCTTAAACAAMGAAATGATACWCTAGGGAATGACACGTGGTCTGAAATGGGACAACATTACGTCAGAGCTGAGGAGGTCTATTATCTTTGGAAGCCAATAATTCAAAGGTAAGACAAGGATTTTACTTACGGTTCACAACACCTCCACTGTAGGCATCTCTGTGAGTTGCATGGTAGATAGCCCTTATGCCAAGGTCATGTGCTTCCTCTGGAGTCAGATCATATTTATATCCACTGTCTAGGACACCATAGGCATAGGTCGACCCAGAACCAACTGAAAACATATAATTACTGAGTCTTGTGCCATCACTGTCTACGTAGTACAGACCAGGACCCTGTAAATTACAATAACAGGAAATCAGAAAATCATTTAAGAATATGAATGAATTATCAATTCAGTTCCAGAGGCTTTATTCCTTTTGGTTTCTCTACCAAGAAATGTTGGACTCTTGTCAAAATCACCCAGACCCTTGAAGTTGATTCTTTGCCAGAGATATATAGGAATAAGGGCTCTGAGATGGAAAATGACATCAGTAGTTTTCTTCTATTTCTACTGCATTTGTAACCAATTCTCAAGAAGAGCAAACTTACCTTTTTGTCCCAGCCACAGATCATAGTACCCTGAAGACAAACAAACACAAGTTTACTGATTGCTAACTTGTGAAACAAGTGGTTTTGCAGGGCTAAAAATAATGCCCAGTCATTAGATGACATGTCTGGATAGTATTAGAATTTCTCAGGTCAAATCTTTGCCTTGTTGGTCATTTTTGACCAGTAACAAGGTATGACTGAGCTAAAACTAATTTGGCCAATAAGGATGACTGGCGACTGTCCAGTCCTTATATTTATCACTGTATTAGTAATTGTAGCTAACACTAATAAGTTTACTATTGCTTTCAATGTATCAAAATGACTATATGAAAAATGCTTGGAGCTACTCAAGGAAAAGACCCTAGCAGCTAAAATCCTGGGAGTGTGGAGAAGGGTCAGAATTTTGACTTCAAATCCTGCAAGTACTCTAACTTAAAGTAATGAACACTTTTATTTCTTTAGATATATTGATGCCTAGTTTTTCTTTTGCTCTCCAAGACCTACTAAAGTATTTTTTTAAAAGTTTTTAAATGAAGTGCTGCCCTACCATTGACAAACCCATGCCTTTGTAATAATACACCATGTTGGCCAGGATTTTAGAGGCTGCAGCAACTGATATCCTTTCTTTGTTACGTAGCTCATAGATCCTGAAAATATGATGTGAAAAGGCTTTATTAGTACATCATTGTTATCATCCTAGAAATATCAGTGTTCCCCACACAAACGCTCAACATCTTATGCTGGAATATTGAAAGTGTGGGAGTGATGTGAAGAAGGAACATGTATATTCTTGTATTCCAGTATTATTCACAGAATTTCTTGAATGTTTTGAAGTTTGAGAATCAACAGAGACATTTGGACCATCACGTGATGGCAGCCATGACAGGAGGCACAACAATAGAGCCTTTTTCTCCTGGGAAATGGAATTCTTTGTCATGTAAATCAGATTAGAACAAATTCCATTGTTCCTGCCTCCTGTCATGGCTGCCATCATGTGATGATGCAAAGCCTCTATAGACCTAATTCATAATGGTACAATGTTTACCCACTTCAGTCCATATTTCATTTTCTCGAGAATGAGATGCCTTGTTTGAGTTGTATCCATATTCATGTGTCTTCTTATGCACCACTGTTAAACAAAGAAATAATACTTGTGGGAATGACATATGGTCTGAATTCACTCGTGTCATTCCCACAAGTATTATTTCTTTGTTTAACGGCCTAGTTAGTGGGAAAACATTGCATAAAGATGAATTAGGTCCATAATAATTCCTTTTCTCACAAGAGGTACAAACCTCTCTGTCTGGATATCTATTGCTGAAGCATAACCACAATATAAACACAATACTTTACCTGCACTGTTTGGCAAGAAGTCTCTCCCAGAATGAACAATCAGCAGCTCCTCCAGCCATAGTACCCAGAAGATAAGGATTGATTTCAATGACCTTTTTGACAGTCTGTGAAGCTAAAATTAAAAAACAAATTGGCCAATGATTACCAAATATGGAGTCAAACTTTGGAGAGACCAGACAATTCACATCTATTTATTTATACTACAGTCTGCATGAGACATTCACATCTATTTATTTACACTACAGTCTGCATGACTAAAAATAATGGTTGTTCAATTGTTGGACATGATGACTGGCCACATTAGAGGGATCAATACATGTAGCAGTCAATATCAAGAGGGATGGTCTAAGAAGTGTTTGGCTGGACAAGTCCAATAATTATGACTGGAGATTGTTTGACATTGTCTGTTGACCTGATGCTGTCTGTTGACCGGGCACTGTCTGTTGACCTGGGCACTGTCTGATGAATGGCCATTATCTTGAGCCCATCATCAAATCTTGTGTCTGATTAAGTAAGCTTTTCAATAATGTCTTTAATACGTTTGGGGAGGGGGGTCTAGCCTGAGCGACATTTTATGTTGTGGCAAAAGGATTTCAATATTCTCGTCAGTTAGTTAACAGAGATCTAGCAGGAGCAACATTTTAATGTTATGGCATAATGTACCAGGAAAGTGCTATAAGTCAGTGCCATATACCTTTCACTAATATAAGAAAGCTAGTCTAATCTATATAATGATAATTAGATTTAGCATCCAAGTCCAGTTAGTTTATCTAATATCACAATAATAATAAATAATAATAATAAAAATAATAAAGACTTTATTAAAGTGTCAATATATATTTAGTGTATATCTTAAAATGTAAACTAACAAACCTATATAAGAGCCAGCTGTTGCTCTTGAATCAACAGCTACAATAACACCATGCTTGAATTTGAAGGCCAGTGTAGTCGTTCCATGGTCAAATTGGATTTTTACATCGCTTTCTCCATTGCTAAAAGGTTTCAGAAACTCGACCGGCTGAAAATGAGAAAGCAACCATTTTGTGATCTTTTCATACAATAACAATCAAACAGATGTTTGCTTTGATAGAAACCAACGATGATCTAGATACTAATAGGCTAAACTCCATTAAAAAGGTTTGTTTTGAACATATCTTGCATGAACCTTTCTTTTTTTTATGAAAGTACAATTTTTCCATGAGGTCCGTGACTAAGCATTTTTGACAATTGTTCACACACAAAAAAACTAAAACCTACATCCATTCCTGACGGCACAGCAAATCGGCAATCATTCATAAAATCAGGAGCTAATTCACTTTGTATTTCTTGCTGGTTCATAAGAGATTTCGGCTTCCCAAAGACATCATTTAACGAGAAGTTCTGATAAGTACTCGCCACAGAATGAGCCGCCATCTTGAATATCTCGATAAAGAAAAACTGGGGCGAGTTTATGATTCGGAATAATCCGGAACTACTTCGGATACTCTCGAAAGAATGTCGGATGACACTCGGCACTAGTGTCCAGTCTGTTCGGGATATTCACGCCGGTAATTTGCATATTGTCACCTTGGAGGAGGACACGTTTTTTGTTGAAGAAAATGTCTTCGCCAATTCTAGCTGAATTTTACATCAAAATCAGTTTTATTCCAGCAGTTTCCATATAAAAATAGCAAAGAACATACGAAAGTCATGGAAGGTAAGTTTTGTTTCACTTTCGTTGCATTTTTTCAGTGTTTTATGACCGAATTTTTACTCCTGACTTGGACACGTGACGACGAACATGTCCTCGTTCTTGGTCTTCTCGTGTTTAAAACTCTGGTTTTCTTTAGTTTTATGTGAAATATATAGGTTAGAGAACATTTGAAAGGTTTTAAGAAGGTCTCTTTGTATAAAGGAAAACTTTTGTGTGTATATTGTAATAAAATTTGAAGAAAATTTATATTCCCCAACCCTCCACCTAATTTGTTTGTTGATAATGTAGTATTTTTTTAATATGTTTATAGAATGGGCTAGTATCATAAGCAGTAATAGTTTTTGTGAACTCTCTCTTTAGATAAAGAAAAGTTTTAGTTTCAATATTTTTATGAGAAACTTCCCTCACCCCTCCCCTCCCCAAAATATTAAGATTGTTATGACCGTATAAAGTTGTCATAATGTATTTATCACTAAAATTAAATTTTGTTTTGCAGTTGTCAAGATGTGAGAAATATTATCCACTATAAACATCAGGCAGCATAACTCAATTGTATTACACCTGGACATGAAGAACAAGTCCATACCACTCTACCAGACACTGGTAAATTGTGTTAGAAGCTGAGGAAAAAATAATGCAATACTTGCCAAGATGATTGACATGTTGAAGAAATGAGACTTCAAGTACATCATGGAATGGCTTGGTAAAAAAATGATATATCTGTACTTCTACAGTATATACATGGTACTTTATAATGAAAGATGAGGAGAAAACAAGGAAGAATAATGAAACACTAAAGTTTCTACTTTGATGACCAGATACAGGTGTATCTACCTGATGATATGCACTGTGACTTGGTTAATTCTAAGAGACTGTGTTGAAAATGATAAAGAATTACCATGAAGAGATATGTACTGTGGCTCAACCTGGTTTATAAAGAGACTGTTGTGACCTTCTAGGCCATTTTACCCTTGATGTCCTACGGATATCTACCAGGTGATATGTACTGTGGCTTTACCTGGTTTATTACACCATAAGGTCTGGGCTTAACTCATATGTTGCTCTAGCCATGAAAGCTCAAGTAGCTTTCAGCTAGATGTATTGTGAATCTAAAGCCCTGCTCAGAGGATTGGAGGAGATGGAGGTGGAATCATTAGGTAGGTATTTAGTGAAATATAAGGGAAATTGGTTTTGGGGGGCTGGAGGCTGTTACATTTACAGAGTTTGCAACCAAGCTAAAATTGTTAGGTTTTTCACCGATATTATAATAAATTATTATTAAAAACTTACATTTTCTTGTACACAACAGAGCTAAATATAATGGCCAGTCATCGGACAATGTCCAGCCAGAATTTTGAAACTTATCTGGTCAAATCTTTGCCTTAATTTATCGCTAAAGTTACTTCTATTATCAAAAACATGCAAACTCCGTAGTTGTGATTTTTCCATTGGAATTTGGTTTTGACTGATTAGGGTATTGACTGATTAGTTTTGATTGACAGCAGCGAAAAACCAAATTTCAGCATTCAGCTTGCAGCTACAGAGTTTGCATGTTTATAGAAAACAGTAATTACACCTTGCTTTTCTGGTACTTAGGTGGTCAAAAAAGTACAACATGTAACCTCTTAATTTGCTTTATTCAACAGCTTGTCTGCAATAGCATTCCCTGTTTGTGATAATGAAATACAGAAACAAGCATGAGATACTCTTGAGTGACAAACAAGTAAGTAAAGATAGTTGTACTTTTAGCCAGTATACTAAAATAAAGCATACAGGGGAAAAAAAAAAAAGCCGAGAGAGTTCCAGTAACCTCTCAAATCCCCTCATCTGCTTATTGTTTGTATAATCCAAAAATGTCATTTTTTCACCTAATCAGTCGGTACCTTTCATATTTTTTACTGGTGACAGCGAAAAATCACATTTCAATGTGCAGCTCGCAGACACAGAGTTCGCATGTTTATGAAAATTGCAGTAACTTCTTTTGGAAAGATTTCACAAATGAAACTAGATTTTAGGGTTGCTAGTATTATTACCTGTAGGATTAATTTGTATTAAAAATAATGTACTTTACTTGCAGATAAAACAAGAAAATGTCATGATAAAGAAAGATTCCACCCCAGCAATGTTGAGATGACATGCAGCCAAGAAGATAGAGAAGAAACAAGAAACCATAAATAACAGGAAAAAGGATAAAGCAAAACTTAAAGATTTGCTAGAAAAAAAGAAAAAAAAAAAAAAAAAAAA